GACCAAACCTCTGAAGGTCCAAACCTCTTAAAGACCAAACCTCTGAAAGTCCAAACCTCTTAAAGACCAAACCTCTGAAGGTCCAAACCTCTTAAAGACCAAACCTCTTAAAGACCAAACCTCTGAAGGTCCAAACCTCTTAAAGGCCAAACCTCTTAAAGACCAAACCTCTGAAGGTCCAAACCTCTTAAAGATTTGGACCTTCAGAGCTTTGTGGTTTGGTCTTTTAAAGATTTGGACCTTCAAAGACCAAACATCTGAAGGTCCAAACCCATTCAGGAGCTTCTGCTCCATCGGGTTCATGAGGAGCTTCTTTCAGTCGGCTGAGTCTGAATAATTCCGTTTCCTTCATGGTTTCTGCTCTCTGTGTTTCCAGGGATACAACTGGGGCCACGACAAGAACGTAGTGACCATCTTTAGTGCTCCCAACTACTGCTACCGCTGCGGTAACCAGGCGGCCATCATGGAACTGGACGACACTCTGAAGTACTCTTTGTAAGTGGCCGCTCCCTTTCCCGGCTGGCTGTTTGTGCCCCCCCCCCCGGCCGGACCCAACCGCCCTCCTCTCCTCCCCCCCCACAGCCTGCAGTTCGACCCCGCCCCTCGCCGCGGCGAGCCTCACGTGACCAGACGCACCCCCGACTACTTCCTGTGAATGTCCAGAGCCTTCCCTGCCCGTCATCTATAAGCCCCGCCCCCTTCCGCACCCCCAGCCCCTCATTTTGGATTTAACGACGCTGTACCAGGGAGAATGGAGTCCAACGATTGGCTGTCGACCCTCCATCTGGGAAGCGAGCGGCCCTCTGCAGTCGTGTTGTCGGTTTGCTGTCACTCATGCTGTGCTTCTGGGGAAAACACACCCAAACTCATCTGTTTCCTTTTCTTTTTGTTTCTTACATGTTTGAAAACAAGATAATAAACGACCGACGTGGACCAAATGTGCCATATTCTGATCCTTTTACGACATGTACGAGGTTTTTCTGTTTGTTTTTCTTTTATAGACCACACTAAACCCCGACCCCCCCCACCCCCCCGAAGCCCCTAAACGCACCACACACCCGATGGCATGTGTGCTTTTTTTCTGTTGCAAGATCATTTTAAAAAAGAGGGAAAATATTACAAAAATAAAAAAAGTTTGCTTTAAGTAGTACAGCTGTCAGTTTTAGCTGTCCAGGCTGCAGCCTCTGGTCATCTCAGCAAGTATATTACTGTAATTTGAATTAAGACAACAGACATATGAAATAAAATGTCCTACTGACAAACTACCGGGGTCGCCGTCTTTTATTCAGATTCCTGATCCGTCCACACAGAAAACACACGAGGTTGGAGACACGAGGAGCATCTTCAGAGAAGGATTAAGCCGAAAATAAAATGTGAAATAGTTGAAAAATATATATTAGTAGAGCTTATATGACTTATTCTATAAAAATCACACAAACTAAAGTTTTTCATATGATGAAATGGAACAAATACACACCTTTGGACACATAAACATCCATCTGAGTTATATTAACAGATATTTTACAATAGACAAGAGTCACAATTTTTACAGATTTTTATTAAAAAAAATCTAACTTAAATAATGCATGTTGGTATGTATTTGATGTAAAACATTGTTCCCTCCCTTTTTATACCGCTGTGCTTTTGTTTAAGCCCCGTGAGTGGCGCTGGTGAGCATTTAAGCTGGTGTCTCAGCGGAAACCACAGAAGAAGAACAGCGAACTCCAGCTACTTCCGGTTAGCCACTTCTTAAGATAATCTTTCAACGGCTGTTTCATGGGAAAAGACCATTTGGCCAGACTAGAGGTTCGTTTTTACCTGTCGGAACATCTGGTTCATTAGATTTTATCTGAAATGTTAATACTGTTTTTTTTTAGGAAGCGTAGTAACAAAAAGTGTTAGCTAAACGAGCTAAAAACATTAGCTCCGCCACTTTAAACTTGAAAATGCAAACATTTTTATATTATATATACGAAAATATTCATGAAAACTATAACATCGACCAAAAGTTAAACATGTTTTATTTTATCAATGTAAAAAACCACTAAGGAAAGCTTTCACCAAACACAGTGTCGGTCTTATTTCCACAGAGTGAAATTTAAACAGTATCTTCTTCCGGACATAATGTGGAGTAAAAAGTCTTTATTTTAAAGCAGAAACTCTGAACCTGTGCTGTCTGCAGAGGATCAGAGGGCATTAAAACTGTTCTCTGTCCAACATTTAATGAACATTTTCCTGATCAAGTGGTGGTTAAACTGACCCGTTTTCATGTTTAGTGCTTCCTAATAGCCGAGAACTTCAACTGTCTTTTACCCTCAGCTATTTATGACCATATTGTTTTATTTCTGAACCCTTTTTAGGCAGACCAAAGTAAGCATTAAAAACAGTGGTGATTAATGATGCTTTAGTCTTAACTGACTTCTTGGGGCTCCACCGTGTCCTCAGGCCTTCAGCTGAGCCCATGATGAAGAGTAGGAGGAGGAAGGAGCTTTGACCTCTGACCTCTGGTCTGCATGGAGCATGTGGTGCTGCATTACCGGCCTGGACCTGCAGGGGGCCTCAGCTCCCTGTTGGAGACCACAGAGAAGCTCCTGGAGCCGTTCCCCTGCCGGGCCCCCCCGGCCTTCACCCCCTGGTTCCCTCCCGAGGCCTCAGCCGGCCTCCGGATGCCCCTCAGACCTGCCCGACCACCTCCGGTCATCCCCCCCACCGGGGCCCCCCCCGACAGCCCTCCCAGACCCAGAGAGGCCCCCGGCCCCCTCCAGACCAGGCAGCCGGGGGGCCAGTGCTCCTGGAGCCTGTTCACGCAGAGGGGAGGCCCCCCCCCCCGGCTCCAGCCCCCCTCCAGGAGCTTTGCAGACATGGTGGCCCTCCACGGGCTCCACCTCCGGCAGAGGGCCAAGTGGGTGATCGCCCAGCACAACTGCAGGGACGTGGAGAAGGTGGGCAGCCTCTGGAAGGCCATCAGTTCAATTTTTATAGCACCACATCCCAACAACAGCAGGAACCTCCCAGCTTTCCAAACAGAGCAGCTCAGACTCTGGGTTATTTCCAGAAGAACAACAGTTCCCATCTAAAGCAGCACTAGGAGACACAGGGAGGAAACAACTGCCTTCAGGAGGAAGAAACCTGAAGGAGGAGGGGCATCTGCCTCGAGAGGGGGGGCAAGAGAGAGAGGGCAATAGAGAGAGAGAGTTATTTTTCCAGCTAATGTCAGTGAAGTAGTGTTTTAGGGACACAGTTTGTTTTTTAATTACGGCGTTTAATATTTAGAGCAGCATTTTTATCAGGTAGTGGAGGGAACCTCCATTCAGTAGAAAACAGAAACAGTCTGATACCTAAGGGTGAATCAGACGTTAGTTTAATCACAAAATATAGCAGTTACCATAAAGCTGACCAGCTTTTCTCATAAAGAAAAACCAAAAAAAGCTGGTATACTACTGGTATTTCTGTAGCTCCAAATTCCAACAACACTTATCTCCCAGTTTTCCAAACAGCAGCTCAGACCAGGAAGTATTTCCAGAAGAACAACAGTTCCCACCTAAAGAAAGCACCAGGAGACACAGGGAGGGAACAACTGCCTTTAGGGGGAAGAAACCTGGAATTTTGATCAGATAGTGGAGGGGAACTTTTCCTCCATTCAGTAAATAACAGAACCAGTCTGATGATGGTAAGTCAAACTTCAGTTTAATCACAATATATAGCAGCTAGCTTAAAGCTGACCAGCTTCTCTTATAAAAAAGAACAAAATGGCCGCTATAGAACTATTTGAACTAGCTGTTGTAGTTAGGATCAGATTAAACGTTTCCCTTTAATGTCCACATTTTTTAACAGCCTTCTCTCACTGCTCCACTTTTAAAATGGGAGCAGTACCACAGAGTCTCCACACGGTGGCGCCTCTTCTACAGAGCTGCTTCTTCTACGGGAGAAAATGGAGGCGGCTTCTGCTTCCTGTGGTTCTGAGACCTGTTGGGCTTAATATGGATCCATATATGAGGTGTCACAGTGTCAGGCTTTTAGGTGCCTTATATCGGGGAAAGATTCCCACTTTCCCCGGTTTAATTAGATTATTAAACAGAGCTGTAATCAAAGTTGGTTCTTCAGCATAGAGAAAAGAGCTGGATGCTTCCTTATCTTTTGGTTAAACTCTGATTAAAACACCAACATCTGAGCCTCTGATCAAACCAGAGTCCAGAGAAAATCACATTTTCTGCCTTTTCCCTCCAGAATCAGCTGTAATTTTCTCTGAAAGGACACAGAAAGTCCTCTAACTTTATTCCAGAGCTGCAGAAAAAGGCCAAAAGGACCCAAACTGCTCCATTTAATGAGCTTTTCTGGATAAAACATTAACATCTGAGCCTCTGATCCAGACTAGAGTCCAAAAAAACTACGATTTTCTGACTTTTTTCTCCACAATCAGCTCTAATTTTCTCTCAAATGACACTGAAAGTCCTCTAACTTTTTTCCAGAACTGAGAAAAGAAGGTTTCCAGTCTTTTATGAAGTCGTTTAACCCCCAAACAGACGTTCAGCTCCAGTTAAAGCTTTAATCTCCTGTTTCTGATGAGTTCTTCCATCTAAAAGGACCCAAACGCTCCATTTAAGGAGCTGTTTCTGGATTAACACCAACATCTGAGCCTCTGATCTAACCAGAGTCCAAAGAATATCACATTTTCTGACTTTTTCCTCCAGAATGAGGCTTCACCTCGTCCTGAGTTAAGGATATGAACATCTTTCTCATCCAGTCTGAGGTTCCTGCTGCTGATGGAGGCACTTTGTTCAGTTTAAGGAGCAGGTTGTGTTTCTGTCTGTTTCCATCTGCTGGGTTTGTGGATCTTTATCTCTTTCTCGTCCTCTCCTTCAGTTTCCACTGACCCCAGTAACCGAGTCAGCGTTTCTCTACACCCAGCCCCAAAAAGCACCACAGCACTCAGATTTCAATGTTTTCATTACAGTTTAATCACATTTTAAGGGAAAAATAGCAGAAAGAAGAGTATTTATAGATTTGTTCTGATGCCTGAATTGAACCCCAACAACACCAACAAAACAGATACATTTTTCATTTCTACTGATAAAGTATTTCCTCAGTTTGTGGTTTTAAACAGGAGCTGGATGGAAAAGCTGCTGGTTTCTGTAGCTCATGGGTGTCAAACTCCAAAACTCAGGGGGCCAAAATGTAAAACCTGAACAAAGATTGAACAAATGAACCTTTTAATGTGGAACCAAACAAATTTAGCTTTAACATTGAA